CTAACCTTCGAAGGAGGATTTACAGAATACACCGCAGCGAAATAAGAGACGAAGAATTACAAAGGAAGAACTCACCGGCGAAGACTGGTTATTGGCAGAGACGATTAAGAGAGACGATGCTTGAAGGTAAAGATGACAAAGGCAGAGTAAGGACAAGAACTTGATGTTTGGGGTTTTAAAGAGAAAATGGCTCGATACCCAAAGAACCATGGCAATGATGGTGCTTCAAATCTCAAAATGTGGGTCTCTAAACCAACCGTTCACTTCCCCACATCATTACCTCGAGTAGTCTCATCATGATTGGGTCCCTTCGATAATCTCACCCTAATTAATTAGGGAGGGATTATAGGGGCAGATAAAGATACCAAAAATGACCTGGGCAGGGCACGACCCAGATTACTGGACACGGGTTTGGAAAAAACACTTTGTTCAGTCGAACCATCACTTATTAGGCCCGAGACCGGAAGATTAGTTTGAAAGCCCGATCTCAGAGCAAAGAAAATGGGCTTATATCCGTGATGAGCCCGAAGGATCAACCCAGCGCGAAGAGTTAGTTAGGAAGTTTCTAGAATGTCTGTAGCAGTCTATAAATAGACTGAAAAGAGAGGGAAAAAAGGTTAAAAATTTTCTTGAAGTGTAAAACTATTCTTTTCAAATCGAGAGAGTATTTTTCTTGCATCTTCATCTAACAATTTCTATTTTAGTGGACTTCTAAAATGCATCTAAACATGTTCTCGTGCAATACTATTTGGACGATTTTTTATTTTTTTTTGGTTCCAAATATATGAATTGTATATGATATATATATACACCTCTATTATATATACAAAGAATAATATATATATTTTGCTCTTTTTGTGTTCTTTAGTTGAAAGCCCATAAGTGCATGAGCCCAAAATTTATTTATTTATTTTGTATTTTTAAGTTTCCTTATTTCTCTTAAATGAATAGTTAGTTTTACTTTTATCTAAGAAGTCTTGAAATATTGTTTTAATTTAAACAATATAAATGAATATAAATAATTATATTATTAAATTTAATAATTCATCATTTTATTAAAACTTTGATAAAAATAGATATCATCAAACACAAATTTATTTATTTTTTTAGTATTTGAAATTATAAGGGAAATTTTGGTATGCACAATCACTCTCTTTTTATTTTCATGCTATCCAAACTAACAAACTAATATTTTCGTATAATTTTCCTGAATAAATTTTCATACTATTGATAGAAAATAATTTTTTTTCATTCACTTCACTTTTCTTTAATTTTTTTTATTTCTTTTTATTTCTATCTAACTAAACGGAGCCTTAAGTAATTCATGTCTGCAGTAAACCTGGCCGGGACTGTTCCTAGAGGTAAATCAATTAATTTGGTGGTTCTAAAATGTAGAGTCTAAGCCTACTGGTTAGATAAAATTATACTCTTTGTTCTTATAACATTATATATACTATTTGAAACTTTATTCACAATTAAATTAATTAATTGAAATTGACTAAAACTAAAATAACGCAAAAAGTACTAGTGTTTAACAAGAAATATGTAAAATTTTAAAATACCTTTTCTAATTGAACCATTGGGTTGAAATACCGTTTTTGACCATATATAACAAGAAATGTGTAAAATTTTGAAACTTATAAAGTGGGACCCACAACGGCCATAACCTATTTTAACAATGTCTCTTAGGACTTGTTTACTTCACAAACGAACGAACCCAAACTGAACGTTTAACGAGTTTATGAACAGCTCGTTCATTTGCAGTCCTATTTGCTCAACTTTTTTTTTTCTAATAGATTGACAAAGTGTGAACAATAATTTCATTGAACGGTGGAAATGTAAGATGGACGTACTCTTTAGACATGTGACATGTTTTAAAACCAAAAATATATATATATATACACACACACATATATATTTCATTTTTAGCTCACAAATATTAATTGAATCATTAAAAAGTTGGAATGTGAAGCATATATTTTAGGAATTTAAATTAGTTTTTTAATTATAATAGTTTATGATTAAATTGGTTGAACTATTATAAAAGGAATTTTTTAGGAAAAAAATAAAAGGAATTTTTTGGGGTCTGTTTAGAAAAGCCTAAATGGTAATATCCATGATTTTTATTTGTCTATTTTTATTCAACTCTTAATCAATTGAAAAATATATCTGCTTGTTCTGTACATCAAAATGGTATTATTTTGATGCGAGGAAACTGGAAGAATCTGGAAAAAAAAAAAAAGTGAATTGTAGAGTACAGCAGGTTCATAGAATTCTAATAATATCTTTGATATTTTATATAGGATAGTTCTAATAAATCAATCTTGTGTGTCCATTACACCTGATCAATGCCGATAGATGTGTATATAACAGTGAGAGCTCATTTTGTAAATCAACTACCATATCTTCACATGAAGATCGTTTCATTTACCTCTTTGATTTCGTTTAGAAATTGGCTACTTAATACTTCAACTAATTATGAGAAGAAAATAGTGGTTAAAAAGTGGAGAAGAAAGGTTTAAATCATACATTTAACACAAAGATTTTAATTACACGATTTGAGAGAAAGAAAATAGTTGTAAATAAATGATGGATGTAGACCCACTCTTTCAATAAATTCAGGATTAAATAACAGTAATTTAAATATGATGATTTTGCGCGGTGAAGTGAATAATTAAAATCACTTAATTGAAACCTAATTCGATATTCATCTCTTTCTTTCCTTCTCTTCAACCAATCCTCTCAACAATACGGAGTCCATCCATTTTGTTCACAAACCTTAATTTTTGCTCCGTAGCTTTCTTTCAGAGTCTTGAATCTATAGCAGTTACTCCGTCGCCAATTGCTTCCACCCCGCGGATGAGGAGCTCGTGCAGACCTCAAGCGTAGCCTTTCCGTTTTGAACCATCTGAAAAATTGTGGTCCACAAATCCGAGCACAAGGATCTCTCTGCCCGTGCTTATATATATATATGTGTACATGTCTATTTGTGAATATACTAGTATTTCTTTGAATCTCTCTTGTATTTTGTTTTAGGTAGATGAATTGTTTATGTTTGATGTGTTCGTGGGTAATTATACTTCACTCTCTTTATCTTATATATATATATATATATATATATGTGGCTTGCCAGCATATAATATTGTGCTATGCATATAATATATATAATTCATTGTAGGTACTGAAAATCCTTTATTATAGGGATAAATAAAGACCTCTCATCCATTAACATAAACACTAAAACATCATTTCTACAATTAATGTAAAATTACTATTTTACCCTTTATTTTTGAAATTTATATAAAAAAAGGAAGGACGTTTTGAGAATTAATAAAAAATAATTTTGATATTTAATAAATTTAATCAATCATGTGCATTTTAACAGTGCGTTTTCAATGGTAACAACCAAAAAATCTTTCTTTACAATATTTTAAAATTCTTTAGGGAGTTATATACTCAAAGTAAAAGAGAGTGTTATTTCCTCAAAAAGTAAAATGATGGGTGTTTTAGATACTTAGTCCTATATATATATATATACACACACATATATATAACGGGTGAGTAGGGGTGATCTCTACTAATCATTGATGTGGTTTAATCACAAATATGCGTATAATTTGTTATTTCAAATTAGAAAATTAATAAATAAAGAAAACAATTTTTTTTTGAAAATAAATTCAATTGCTAGTATGTTTTCCTTATTTATTGCTTTCCTGATTTTGTAATTACAGGGCCACGTGCATTTTTAATTGGACCACATTAACTGTCAGTAGAGACCATCAACTCACTAATGAGTAGACAAGTATTATATATATATATATTATATGAATTAGAGATTCTTTCAAATTTTCTTGTGCATAAAGCATTGCTTGATTGTATACATATCAAAACGCAAGTCGCATTTTGGAAGAGCCAACTACTACTTTATTGATGAGGTTTTAGAACCAAAGACAGGTTGTGATCTCTTCTGAAAAATCTATGTCGACAAATCTGAGCCTTGGAATCTTTCTCTCTTGTATTTTGTTTTGGGTGGATGAATGAGCATAAATTATCCATCTTGTATGTCCATTCACTCTCTCTCTCTCTCACAAAGGTATCTACAGAGATTGAAGTACTGTAGCAATGTGCTGGAGACACGATGAATTTCCCCCAATAACGGTGAGATAAGATAATAAAGATGGATGAACGAAGATTCAATTTAATTGGAAATGAAGATCAATTTTTATTTATTTTTTAAACCCACAACCATGAATGATGAAACGAAATCATTTTATATAGGGCAAAATAGTCAATATAGGGCAAAATAATCAATTTGTATGTTCGGCATTTGAGGATCTGTCCTTAAATGCATATTTTTTTTACTTTAGGAGATTTTATGAGATTTCAGGAGTTTAATGCACTTTATTCATTAATATTAATGTTCACTCGTCCCAATTTAGTTATTTAATTAATTATTTATTTATTTATTTTTGAGTTGTTTCAAAATACTTATCTACTAACCACATATCTTCATAAAATATTCTCAAAATTTTAAAAAAATTTAAACTTGATTATATATATATATTTAAATTTAAATAGATATTTTTATAATTTTTTAAAAAAATAATGTAATAATTATATATCCTCCTTAAAAGATTTTTTCAAAATAACATTTAATATAAAACGGTGGGAGTAATAATTTATATTTACTATGTTACAAAAGTTTTGGATATATAAAACCATTTAACTAATTACAAATATAACAACTTATATAGATTTCGTAGTTGATAAGTATCTACTATCTATTCAATTAGGAGTTAGGACAAATTTACGGTCAAAAAAACTTTTAATAATTTTACTTAATTGCTCTTTACTCTCTCTCTCTTCTTCTTCTCTCTACTCACTCTGTCGCTTCTTTTGCCACTCCAACCGCCACCACGCACTACACATCGACGTCATGTCATGAACCTCCACCCGTAAGCGAATCAAACAACTAGAAGTTACAGAACACAAAATCAAAATTAAATCACACCCCGTCGTATATATTAAAATTTTAATCCAACCCATATTTTACCACCACCACCTTCCTTCCCATTTTTCCCGTGATTACTCCGTCGGCGCTGATACCACCTCCACCGCAACCACCGCCGGTGTTGTGCGTGGATGTCAGAGAGATTGGATCTATGGACACGTGTCAAATAGTGTCCAATTTGAACATCACCAAAGAACAAAGTGCATTGGTACCCAAAAAAAATAAGTATAGGTCAACTTCTCATTGTCAATTAATTTTAATTTACCCAAAAGCGAAGCTAAATAATATTACAATAAATTATCAAGAATTCATGGCGCCACCTTGTTTTTGGATTTGCATTAGGCTCTTTGTCAACCAAATTGCTGTTTCTCTTGAAGAAACAACATCTTCTCCCCCAAATGGTCTTAGAACACCTGCAAGTTCCTCAAGTTTTTCCTGTTTGAGCAATTGTGCACAAAGTTCAAGCAGTGACTCCAGACCTTCTGCTCTTTGGTGGCTGTGTGTATCCCATTCAATTTTTACTGTGTCACCATGAACCAAAGTTAGTGTGCTCATTGGTGAAATGTCACTGAATGACTCTTGACTATCACCTTTTCCCGCGCTCTTCGAAGGGCTAAGACCATCCATTTTTGATCCTACTTCATTTTCACATGGAAGTCTCACTGTACTTGCCGACGACTTGTTCTCCGTGGAAGTAATTTTTGGATGTGAATTGGGCATTTCTGTTAAGTGGGAAATGCATGAGGCTACTGCTTCGTGTTCCTGTTCGATTGCTTTCTTAGCTTCAGAAGACTTTTCATCTTCCAGAATCTCATCACTGTCCATAGCTGTTGTAGTTGATGCTGCATTTTTCTTGTGGTTTTCGTTGTTAACTCCATGTTTGGGAGTGAGCTCTTCTTGTTCTGTATCTTCATTAAAGTCGGTCAAAGTACTCCCTGAGGTGGTTCCTGAGTTAGGAATTTCAGATTGCTTGATACAGTTGGATTCGACTCCCGAGCCTTCATTGGTTTTAGGCACTTGCTTGGAACAGCTAATAGGATATGCCCTTTTAGTTTCAACTTCAACTTGTTCGAAATCAAAGTAAGTGAGCCTAACATTTTTCGTGCAATTTCGAGTCAGCATGTCATGAACATTTTCCAACTCCTTCAGCAGCATTGCCTTCTCACAACTTTTGGTGTCTTTGCTGATTGTAGACTTCTCAGACTGCTGGGATTTCGTAGATCTGTCCTTTGAAACCTTTTCGGACTTCACTGGAAGGAAAACAGTAGATAAGTTGCGGCACTGAGCAAGGTATGGCTGTAAATGGGGATGTCTCAACAGCTCTGCAGCCTAAGATGTCACAATTGGAGGCATTAGAGTATGTAAGCCATCACTTCCCAAAACATTGAGATACAATGGTTTTTTTTTTTTTTTTTTTTTGGGTGGTAAGATTTAGATACAAAGTTGAGCCTTGTGACTAACCGTTGGTCTGTGTTCTGGGCTTTTTCTTAGCATGCTTTTGATCAACCGTTTCCTGTGGTGTTGAAGGCCACCCTACCTCAGTTAGGACTATTTCATTTCTTGCTACTCTAAATAGGTGAATGTACACTTCCAAACAGTGTCTTGAATAATTCAAGAATATTAAGAATTCACTTACAATGTGGAGGAATACACAGCTGGAAGCGGAGAAATACAAGATCGGTTTATTCTGTTTATGAGTGCAGCCATGTCCTGTTTGACAAAGTTTTAAACAGATCAATTCCATATAGCTCAATTTTTTGAATGAAGAAAATATTAATATAATTGGAGCTGAGACTTACAGAAGCTCTAAATGCAGGTTGATGTGCAGCTATTTCAAACATGCAGCAACCTGAGGGAACATGAATAATATCATATTAGGGAACTACAGAGTGAATTAAAAGTATGCCAATGTATTATTAAGGGATTAATCTACCTAGGGACCATATATCTGATTTGTAGCCATATGGGATATCCGCGAGGAGCTCCGGACACATGTAGTTTGGAGTGCCCACAACCTATGTAAGATTTGGGGATCACCATTAGTAGATTATTATGAGCTGCAAGTTATGCCTAGCATTATCAAAATAAGTAACTAACCGATTGAAGCTAATTTTAGGGGATAACATGAACTTAAATTGTTCAGAATTTCAGATATATGCAAAATTTTGTTCAATTTTGGTTCATTAAAGTGTAAGAAGATTTAGCTTTAATTTCTCTGGGATGGTTACAAAGAACTCATCCTAGAATAGATGTCAATGATTGAGTCAATTTGCTGGTTACTCAATAAGAATGGACTTTTTTTTAGTAATTAGCTAGTATAAGAACCCTAGAAATAATTTTAAAACTATTGTGGATTACTTCCTTTCCTGAAGTTGCCATATTTACAAGTTACAACCCCTGAATGTGTCAAACACCTTAAACATTGTTAGTTAGTTTTGGGATAGTCTACATTTAGTTTAGAAGACTCAATGCTGTACTGCCAGGATAATGTATCCATCAATTAAATCCTGTTTGCAACAAGTTATGGTCCTACCGGGTCGATGATATCTTAGTAAATCGTGATCATCTTGTAATAAGCTTATGAACTGTTAATAAGTACATTTTCAAGGACTGCAGCCATCATGGATCAATTCACTAATAACAGAAACGAGAGGAAACTGAACCATTACCGAAGAAGCGAGATCATCTTTGTTGAGCAGTTTTGCAAGTCCAAAGTCACCTGTACATTCACCATGAGATAAAATCTATCTAGAGAACCATAAAAGTATCAGATACACTGTTTTGATTTCTTACCTAATCTGATTTCGTCGTCTTTGGTAAGGAAAATGTTGGAGCACTGGAGTAGAGAAAATAAAGATTATTTGGGGATCATAATTATAAGCTAAGCACTTCTTCACAGGAAATAGCTAGAGATGTATACCTTAATATCTCTGTGGAGGACTCTGTTGGAGTGAAGGTTGTCCACAGCTAGCAACAGCTGAGTAAGCCATTTGCATACCTTCTGCAGAAGAAAATCGAATTAGTTTCTGTTAATTTGTTCTAAAGGCCTTAATTATTCTTGCAAATCTTTCAAGTTCCTTACCTCCTCTGTGAAAAATGTTCCTCTTGATTTCTTAATTATCTCAGCCCTGAAAGATTAGTGTCAGAGATTAGTACAACAGTTAGGTTGTGTACCTAATGTATATATAGGAAGTAGAACTTATATATTGCAGTTCTACCATAATGTTTGTCAACATTTTGCTTCTTGTCATCCCTTAAATTACTTTAATATATATTTATTTATATATCTTCAAGGATTATGAACTTGATCAAATATGACATTGACTTACATGTCACCTCCTTCACAATAACTTGTCACAATGCACACATAGAATTCCTGTAATTTATCACCACATACAACTGAATTTAGCTAATATAGTAATTGGGTCGGTTTGATTCCATCTTTACGGTGAAATTGCTACCTTTTTTCCGTTTAATTCTTCTTAAAGTTTGAAAATATGAACATGAAGAAGGTCATATCTTTTTTGTTTGATGGGAGGGCAAGTGTCTGAAAGAAAAAAGAACAAAACTTGCAAAATGACTACCTTTTCCACCCATGAATCTTTGTACTCCACAATGTATGGGTTATTTAGCTTTGCTATTAAATTCATCTGCAAGAAGAAGCAAATCAAAGGTGAATCTTTTTATTTTTATTTTTCAAACATAAGAGTAGAACAAACTGATATTTTATATCTTTAACTAAAAAAAAAAAACTGATATTTTATATATGAGTTTGTTATGATCATGATATGTGCTGTTCTAAGTTAATTAGGTCATTCAACTCCAAGGATTCTTGACTTCTAACAGCCACTAGAGTTATTTTTTATTTTTTATTTTATGAATTTCTCTTCGTTAATTTAGTTTTCTGGAAACAAAAGAAAAAAAAAATGGTTTTTAAGAATTTTAAAAAGGGGAAGTTGTTTTCAGAAAATAAAAAAAAAAAAAACTTGTTCTCTCTTCCTTTTTTCTTTTATTTATTTATTGAACTTTGTTTTGAGAATAGTTTGTAGACAACTGTCTACCTACCGGATGAATTTTCGAATTATCTTGCTCTTAGAAATTAAAGTGACTAAACAATTATGAATTCTGTTTACTACAGAATCTTCAAGGATATATGTCACTCCGGTAGTTAACTTAAAGGGCCAGCTATGTGCACAAGGCTCCCATCATTGCAGGGTCTGGAGAGGTTCGGTGTGCACAACCTTATCTCTGCATACGGAGTGACTATTTCAAGTAATGAAACAACCTTACCACAACACCTTAATTACCTAGTCAACTTGTGAAAATTAATTAACTACTTTTTTGTTGTTCTATAAAAGCTGAGGTAGCTTTTAATGGTTGCAGGATAAGTCTCTCAAATGTATTTATTTTCAGTGCTTGGGATGATAGTTATATTTGATGAATGCAAATGTCAGAGCAGTTCATATTTTAGGTGTGACCAATTTATGAGACATTCCTCGCAAATTTATGATGAGGAATTAGGGTGATGGCCCCAGCACACACACAGCCACCTACCAAACTAGGGCCTTTTTAGGTCTAAAGAAGAGAAAAGATAGGAGTGGTTGAGCCAGATTGAAAATTAGATCATTAATTAATTGAAAAAGATTAAAAAGTGAGTAAGATCAGTGACCTCCTGATGAGCAGTGCGCTTAAACTTTTCTGTTTGTTTTGCCAAACGAATCTTCTTCAACACATACCTACAAAATTCAATTACACACAGTATGTGTGTGTTGTTCATTGTTAATTCAGCAACAATAATGTCATGTCTCACATAGGGCCTGTTTGGTTTAGTTTTTTTTCCTGAGAAAATCAGAAAGCAGTATAAACACTTGTTTGGCCGGCAGTTTTTTGAAATTGTTTTTTGGAAAACTGTCTTATGAGAATATTGGCCATTACTAGATCCTACATACATCAATACTTGAAGCAATTTTAATTACTTTTTACCTTTTCCTCAACACCCTTTAGAGGAATGTGTGTGTGTGTGTGTGTGTGTGAAAGAAGAAACAAGGCATTTTCTTGATATTTTTATAATGAACATGTGTGAATGGAAGATAGAGGAAATGATATTCTTACTTCTTTTTCTCAATTTTATGAAGAACAAGAAATGCAGCTCCAAAGGCACCTCTTCCAATTTGCTCTATAACTTCATAATCTTCCATCTTCGATTTAACTTTGTCGTCCGTTATCTCCATAAGCAACTTCAAAGCTCAGTATGATAGCTAGAAGGCCAATATACACTTTAATGGCCACTTCACACACTCTTATCTATCTATCAATATATATATATATATATATATATACATACTCACATATGGTAATTACTTACAATGCTGCCCACATCATTTAATTGAATTTAAAGCCATCTCAGAGATCTCAACTGCTTGAAAGAAACAAGACAATAAGCAGGAAATCATACAAGAACCATGAATAATAAGAGTGCATTGAATTCTATATGTACAAATCAGAATATATAGCATTTAAAGAATTACCCAGAAAAGATTTGGCAACAAGTAAATCTTGAAATTGTTGAAGCTCAAGAAAACTGTGATGGGTTTAAAGACATGAATATAAGGAAAGCAACCATGTGAAGATGTGAATTTTAATTGATAAAGGAGGGAAGAAGATTTGAGCAAAAAGCAAAGTACCAAAAAATGGCTAAAGAAAAAGGAATAGTCATGACAAAAGCCAAAATTTAAATAAAAGGCAAACTTTGCTTGTGTATTCAGATTTCTGGGATATCAATATTATAAATTAATTATGTGGTTGGTGTGTCACTTTCCTTCAACTGAACATCTCATGCATTTGATTTCTCAACAGCAAAAGATTCACTTGGGAGAATCAGAATGTTGTTGCCAATTGGCAATATATAATCAGGTATGTGGCTGGTTTGTCACTTGTTAGTTGTTACATTAAGAAAATATGGTAGCGATTAATTTAACATAAGTAATTAGGGTTGAATTCGCTCCTTAACATCACCAACTTTGTCCATTTGGTGGGCCATAATGAAATTATGTGGATTCTAGTGCGTTAGGGTCTACACACAGTATTCACCAAGAAGTCTTCTCCTTAGAGGACAACAAAGGAAAGTGATCAACAAGCAGGACACGGATGAAGCAACTGATTCGAACAAGGATTTGAATTGTACATATATGTGTGTGTGTGTGTATATATATATATATATTCCTTCTGGCAAATTATATATATATATATATATATAGTTCTTCGGCAAATTATAGAGAGGGGTACTCAAATATGGATACACCCGAAAGTTGGAGGTTGAACCAGTTAGGCCACTTAATAATCTCAATCGTACATATATCACTGCTACATTAAGCAACACCATTTTATATAGATTACACCTGTCATAAATAAGCATCAAGGTATTCGAAAAAAATATTATACAATTGAGCAGCTTGTGTCGACTTGGCATATATTTAATGTGCGTATGCGCGTGTGGGAGAGAGCATTTAGGGCCAGCCCTGGCCCAAGGCGGTCGCCTAGGGTCTCAGAATATAAGGGGCCTCCAAATTTATAGGCCCATGAATGATGGGCCAAAAAAAAAAAAATAATAAATACAACCAAATGCAGCAAATCAAAATTTATAGGCCCATGAATGTTGGGCCACCAAAAAAAAAAAAATTATAACCGTAGCAAAGGGCCTCAAGAATGATGGGCTACCAAAAATTAAAAAAAAAAAGTCTAACCAAATGCAGCAAAAAGGAGCCTCAAAAAAAAAAAAAAAAAAAAAAAAAAAAAAATTAGGACAAACATATCACTTATGTATAGAGGGCCTCACATTTAAAGTCTGCCTAGAGCCTCTTGAGATTTTTTCAATCTCAGGGCTGGCCCTGAGAGCATTGGCTCAAATGACGTACGGATTTATGAACCTAGAAGGCATATGTGAATTTGGGACATACTAATAGCAATGCATCTGTACAATGGGGACAAATTCTTATAGACTTGAAAATTTTCTTTCGAAATTCTTTTACCTGTCTAGAAACAGATTAAAACATGAATTTTTCAAGGAAAAAGCAATACCTTTTTTTTTTTTTTTTTTTGGGTAAAATGAAAAAAATCCATTTAAATTATTGACATATCAGCAACTAACTCCTTAAACTACAAAAGTTACAATTAATTTCCTCAACCATGCAATTTTGTTGCAAATGAATCCCTCCGGCACGGCTCCGACCATTACAACAAACAGCATGTGTGATCACGTGATGCATGTGATGAAATTATAGGACCATAGTGCCTTATTTACATGAAATGACAAAAATGCCCTTAGTTGTTAAGGGCTACAACCAAACAGGTACCAAATAGGGTTATAAACAATACACAGCCAAACACTCCTTTCATCCCTGTTCATCTTCTTCATAAGGCATAAGGCATAAGGCATGTGCTTTCTGATTAAATGAAAAGTTAAAAAATTGCTGAAATGAACCCGTTTCTCCGCCTCCCTCAGTGTAAATTGTGAAAAATCTTGATTCAATAAATTTGATTAACTTTGGGACAACATCATGTTTCCATGGCTGATAATCCTTATTCCACTTTGAGAATTTGATTTTGTGATCACCAAGAAACGAACTCGGCGGACGGTCTCACCAGTTCTTATTATTCGTCTCTGTCCAGCGACACCAATGATAACTGCGAGCTCTAATCCATGGCCGGAAAGGTAAACTTCTTCTTCAATATTAACACCGCAATTATTTAGCACTTTTCTCATATTATGGTGGAATCAATCAAGTGGGTTTGGCCGTGGAACATTGTGCAAATGGGTTTTACAACCAGTTAAAACTTTTTGCCAGTTTTGTTGCAAGGAAAAAAATAAAAAAAAAAATGGTAATCCAAACCATCTATAGGTGTATATATATGGTTGTTCCTAATTTTATTATTGCAATCCAGAAACACTAAAAATTATATAAATGGTAGTAACTAATACACAAGGAAAGGACAGAGACACTTCCTAACCAGAGAGCAAAGTTCCCACATACATCCTTCTTTTTCTGTGTAATTTGTTGCTTGTTTCTTGTGGTTGATTTCCATCTCTGCAACTTATTCGACAAAAAAATAAATAAAAAAAACTGCAACTTAGCTACCTCATCCACAGATACTTCATGCCCTAAGTTCAATCAAGCATCTAAGAAGAAGAAAGGAACTTAACCATCCAATGCAAAAGAAATCAGCTTTAATTCCTTCTTCTCCTTCAACCTCTCTTCCTATCTCTCTCTAAAGTCGTTTCCATTATTCTTCATCTTCCTCCCTGTGAATCTGTGACCTTGACCTTCTCTGGCTCCTATTTCTCTCTCTAAAATGTGTCAAAAAATATGGGAAAAAATTGTCTCCATGCACCCTCTCACTGGAGGGTGTCCGGAGGAGCTGATGTGGCATGGCTAACATGGCCGGTATTTACCTCCTATTGTATAAATGGTCTCCTATGTATCTGTATACATACAATCTGTATACATACAATCTTAAATTTCCTCCCAAAAGTTTCTCTCCAAATGTCAAATGTTATTTCCCCCCAAAAGAAAAATGTTAATCATTTTGTATCATTATTTGCGTCTGAATTTCAGCCCTCTCTCCCTCTGAAATTGAACTCATGAAGAATCCGGTAACTGAGCAAAATTTCGGCGACTGATGAAGAATCCGGCAATGGTGTCTGTCCCTCTGTCTGTCTATCCGGCAAATACCCCAGCTTCGTTCAGGTGTTTGTCACTTTGAAATTGAAGTCTCAGGAATTCGGCCAAAGACCAAGCTTCGTTCAGGTCTCTCTCCCTCTGAAATTCAACTCTCTGTCTGAAATTGAAGGTTCGTTTAGGTCTCTCCCCCTCTGAAATTCAAGTCCTTGTCTGCTGATCAAGAATCTGGCAAAAGACCAAGCTGTATAAACATTGTCCGTCTGCAAAGAAGCATATATAATTGTAGAAGAATTTGATTTGTTTGTTTTTCTGCGTTTTTTTATAATTCAATGAAGCTTATTTTTTCTTTGTTTCATGTTCTATATATGTATGTTCAATTTGCAGAGTCTGTAGTTTTATTTACATGTCATTTATAAGTCTATTTTACATCGGATTATAGTCACTGAATTTGTGATACATTAGTAATTTTGTTTATGAAATATAAAACTCCTGAATTATATACGATTCAATAAGTTAAGACACAAGAAAACAGTGTCACTGTGATAATAATTTTTTCTCCTGGAGATATGTGTTTACATGTAATTTATAAGTCTATTTTACATGTGATTATAGTAATTGAATTTGTGATATATTAGGGCAATTGATTTATAGGTGGTTTGTGAAAGAACCCATTAATTAATTTTGATTCAATAAATTAATAGCCAATAAAACAGTGCGAGTGTGATAATATTTGTCCCAGTGGAGATATGTGTACTGTTGCACTGAAATTAAGATTATTGGATTTATAGTTGTACTGTTGCATTGGAATTTATTTAGTTATAGTGCAATTTCGATTAGAAATTGAGAGATAATGTTAATATAGTTTGTACTACAGATAACCCTATTGTTGCATTGAAATTAAGTTAATTGTAGTGTGTCATTGAAATTGGTTTGGAATGACAAATTTAGTTAGACTAATAAGTGGATATATTTTGTATGACATGTTCATATAAGTGGTACCACATGTTGGAAAACTGTATGAATGTGTGGACATGCATTATATTACTCTATTTGTTAAAATCAGGTGAAGATGTTAAGTTAAAGTTGTGATGGTTAGTTTATTAAACTGTTCACACCTATTTGTAAAAGGTTATGTTGTCTAGTTCAAAACTTCAATTGCTTCCCATTTTAAATGATTTTCCTTTATAAGGTTCAGTTGAATTATGTTAGGAATAATTTTGTATAACATGTTCATATAAGTGGTGCCACATGTTAGAAAAAGTGTATGAATAGATATTAGGTCAAAGATGTGATGGTTTATTTATTAAACTGTTGGCACGTGTTTTTAAAAGGATATATTGTTCAATTATAAAATTCAATTGCTTCCCACTTTAAGAGCCTTTATGAGGTTTAGTTGAAGTATGTTAGGAATAATTTTGTATGATATTTTCATATAAGTGGTGTCACATGTTGGAAAAAGTGTATGAATAGATGTTAGTTAAAACATGTGATAGGTCATTTATTACACTGTTGACATCTGTTTGTAAAAAGTTATGTTGTTGAGTTCAAAAGTGCATTTGCTTCTCACTTGAAATGATTTGCCTTTATGAGATTCAGTTGAAGTATGTTAGGAATAATTTTGTATGACATGTCCATTTAAGTGGTGCCTCATGTTGGACAAGTGTATGAATGTATGGACATGTATTATATTACTCAATATGTTAAAATCAGCTCATGTTAGGTAAAAGATGTGATAGGTCATTTATTACACTGTTGACATATATTTGTAAAAGGTGATGTTGTTGAGTTCAAAAGTGCATTTGCTTTGCACTTCAAATGAATTGCCTTTATCAGGTTGAGTTGAAATATGTTAGGAACAATTTTGTATAAAATGGTCATATAAGTTGTGCCACATGTTGGAAAAGTGTATGAATGTGTGGACTTGCATTATATTACTCTATTTGTATTTTTTCAGGTGAAGATGTGTAATACCCCTAGTTTTCAAAAGGATAGAATTGGAAATTTAATTTTTTTTTCATTGATTAATTGAT